TTATATATTTTTATGTTTTTATATATATATATATTTGAGATGGAGTCTTGCTCTCTAACCCAGACTGGAATGCAGTGGTGCAATCTTGGCTCACTGTAAACTCCGCCTCCCAGTTTCAAGCAATTTTCATGCCTCAGCCTCCGGAATAGCTGGGATTACAGGGGCCTGCCACCAAGACTGGCTAATTTTTTTGTATTCCTAGTAGAGATGGGGTTTCACCACGTTGGTCAGTCTAGTCTCAAACTCCTGAAGTGCTGGAATTACAGGCATGAGCTGGATATTTATCGGATAGCTACTACATTAGTGTAAATAATTTTCTCTTTCACATTTAACTTTCAATATCAAATCCAATGCATAAAATACTCCCATTTCTCCTACTGAAAAAAAAAAATACCATTGTCAGGTAATCTCCGTTTTTATGACCCTTAATCTCCATTACTTTTCTAGTAAAAGTCAAAACAAAACAAACAAAACCATATACAGTAATTAGTCTGCAGAATGAAACTCTCATAGACTGAGACCAAAACAAAATGTATCCTGACTTCATAGGGGGTACTCATTACCTTCTAATCACTTATTCGAAATGAGAATATTAAAAATTACCATAATTTTAAAATCAGTAAAACATTTCTATGTATTATTTTCAATAAATGGATCAAGAAATTACAGACCAGAGTCATTCTTCACATCATGTGACCAATAATGTTTATAAAAATATCTTGGTACAAATTATAAACTGGACATTTTTGTTAACTAAAGTCTAGTTTAGTATATAAAAATTATCTGAAAGTATAAATGTTATAAAAAGTAATGTAAATTTACATATATTCATTCTATTCAATTGGCTATTACCCACTCTAGAGTTTTACAAATTATTTTAAAATGATTATCTTTAATATTTTTACATACTATTAAGATAATTTTGATAAACAAGCAGTAGGGCCTGTCAACAAGTAGTCAAGATTACAGGTGCCGGCCACTATGTCTGGCTAATTTTTGTATTTTTAGTAGAGACAGGGTTTCACCATATTGGCCAGGCTGAGGCTGGTCTTGAACTCCTGACCTCAAGTGATCTGTCAGCCTCAGCCTCCCAAAGTGCTGGAATTATAGGCCACTGTGCCCAGCACGACTCTATTTCTTGATTAAATCAATGACATTATTGCATTTATTGTGTCACTATTCAGTAATTCCCTAATTACTTATCCCCTTACTAAAACTGTACCATTCATAATATTAACTATCATTTTAAAACTGTTCTTCTTTTACAAATGTAATTCTGATTTTGCACTAACCTGATTTGCCTTATGTCCAATCTTTCTCTGAGTGCTCATGATACTCCCTAGACATTCTACCAGCACCTAAATAATGGCACTTTTCAAGTTATTTTGGGAAAGTGAGAGTGAGAAAAGAAAAGTGACAACAGTATGAAAGAGAGAGAGAGAGAGAGAGAGAGAGAGAGAGAGAGAGAGAGGGAGAGAGGAAGAGAAGACAGACTCTCAGAGGAAACTATTAACTACTCCCCCAGGGTTTAATAATTCAGTCTATTCTGAGAACACCCTCTCCTAGCTCCAGACTCAATCTTTCAAATAACCATAAGTGAAAATGAAAAAATTAAAACAGAAATACTGGACATCTGTTAGATTCTTACAAAAACCTACCCTGCTTCCATAGCTCTCTCTTGCTGATAAGAACTTTGTATTTCTTCCCAATCAGCAAGAAATGAAGTTAGAATTGTTTTTTAATTCCCTTTCATCTTTGACATCAGACACAATGCTAAGTTACAGAAACTCTCCTGCTGAGCAGCTTCTCACTTGAGTTCAACACTTCCTTTTCTTTACTATTGCAACAACCGTGTTAAATACCTTCACGATCTCTCATAAAGATCATGTAATAGCCTCCTTAAATTTCTCTCTGCTTTTCATCTCTCCCTGCTTGAATCAATCTTAAATATTATGAATGTCTTGCCAATCAAATACTCTGTTCAAAACTCCTTCATGGTCTCCGTGCTGTCTTTACAATAACACAGAGTGCCAATGTCTAGTATTAAAATCTTCCACCAACTTATCCCAGTTTTATCTCCTGCTGTTCTCTAACCAACATAAATTTCTGCAAACCGATTCTATACATCACTGCCTCTTTGCTACTTAATCAAAGTATTCTCCTTGACTAAATGATTTGTAACTTTTCATTCCCTCATGTAAAATTGCATCAAGACTTTAAATGGTGTTTTGGGGATAAATCTCATACTGCTTTTATTATTGGATGGTCACCAGTTCCTCTTGTGACATGTATGTATATATATAATTTTTTTCAAAATATATTATATCTGATATTTAGATAATTATGGGGGATAGTATTTCAATCATATAAGCATTCAACTATTGGAATTTGATTGAAATAATATTCAATCATATTTAAAGATTCTAACATGACTCAAATATTTCAATCATATTTAATATTTAGATAATTATGTGAGATAAAGTTATTCACTATCATGTGTATGAAGTTAAAGTACACCAAGTTCCAGTTCTGCTACTGATAATGCATCTTATATTGGACAAACTTTTCAAAGAAAATGATGATAAACTATATATTTGTGTATATATATATATGATTTATTTTTTAAAACGTCTAAAAGGCACTGGAGAACAATTAAGAATAGACAAAGACTAGAGAGATTTTTTCACTTGAGGAAATCCCTTAATTCATGTGGAAATGAATGGCTAGAACTCAAGCAGAAAAGTGAGTGGTGAAATCTAGAAGCTATGGTATGTATCCTTGTAAATTATCTTCAACATCGCTGTCCAACATCTGAACTGTATGTGCAAGTAAATAAAAGGCAGTGGCTGCAAAGCTGAAAAAGGTGGCTACTGCCCATTGCAAATTTACATGGGCTAATACACCTTTCAAATAAACTACGCTCTGTATGGTACATCCAATGGGGTGAGCTTAGTAGCGTATTGGAGATATCAGGAGAAAGAGTACATGAATTTGAATATAAATCAATAGAATTTTTCCAATCTGAAAAGTAGAGGAGAAAAAGGTTGAATAAAAATGAACTGTGTGTCTTAGATCAATGCCTAGAAGTCTAACATATATATATATATATTTTTTCTTTTTCTGTTATTTATATACAAGTATATATATGCATATATATATTTCATATATATATATACACACACACGTATATGTGTGTGTGTGTGTGTGTGTGTATATATCCTGAAGGAAAGGAGTGGGTAAATAAAGGAGAAATATTATTTGAAGAAATAATGATCAAAATTTACCAAATTAGATGGAAAGAATAACGTTAGGTATCCAAGAATCTTAGTATCCTAAGAAATACAGATACCGATCCCTCCCACTCCTTCACACATAAAGTCACACTATTGAAATTGTTGAAAAGCAATGATAAAGACAAAATCTGAAAAGACAAAAGCAATTTTAAAAGGGAAACATCAATAGGAACAAAGCTTTACTTTATATTAGAAAGAAATTAGAAGACAAAGTAGTTTTGAGGTACTGAAAGGAGAAAACAAAACAAAACCACAAAGCAACTTTTAACCCAGAATTCTATAAGAAGGAAAATTCCTTTAAAAATACAGGTGAAACAAAAGCATTTTAAAATAAATGAAACGGAATTTGTTTCTAGCAGATTTGCACGACAAGAGGTATATATTTTGTGTCTACACATACACACGTATATACTTATGTATACTTTGTTGTATACATTTATATATTCTGACCTTACAGTGGCCTGATTCGCCTTCCATATCCTTAAAATTCTTCTATTATATCATATGCATTGTTTCTATAAAATGATTCAGTAAACACACCGTGATGTATTTTAGATGTTACTTAATTTAATCTACAACTAGGGGTGGCTAGTTAACATTTAAAATATGCTAATGATAGAATCTGCCTATACAGATAGTTAACAGCTGAAGTAGTTAAATCACGGGCACTCTCTAGGGGCAGCTATTAAGCACTTCAAATACTTCGAATTATATTTGCACTTGAGTGTTAACTAGTATAAGGAATATCAGAAATAATATTTTAGTGGTGAAATGGTGTTGTTTGTATGTGGTGGCTTAAAATATTAATATTTTATGGCCACTGCTGCTCTTTCATAAATAGAATGTAAGAATCATGAGTCTAGCTGCTTAACAACAGAATACCTAGAACTCTATTTTATCTGTGCCTTGTCTTAGTATAGGACTCTGCCTTCCAATGTAGATGAAAAATAACAGATTCTATATGAGTATATTGTTTCATATGCTTCAGGGTAAAATTGCGATATACAGTGCTTCAAAATGTACCTAAAATTAATGAGAGTTGAGATTCACTCAGCTTACAGGAATAGGTTTTATGACTGATCTTTGAGCCTGCTTGCTAGTAAGTATTATATGTGTGGCAGGATTCAGTTGGGATTTGCTTTTATTAGGCAGTATCACCTAGTGGCAAAGTCTTAGCGGAAGAGATTTGTAACTGGCACCAAGTAATATTAACTTAACTCAGTTTGAAATATTCCCTCCTCCTGCATTCCCTACCTCATCTGACCATAAGAAAATAATTACAGAATCAAAAAGTCTTTGCATGCCCCCTGTAAAATATTATATTTTATTTATGTAAATTATATATATATATACACACATACACACACACCTATATACATATGCCAGTTTGGTGGTTAAATTAATGAAAATATTAATATAACACAATAGAGAACACAGTTTGATGTTAAGAGATGTTCCTAAGTGGACGAATTAAGCAAATAAAATTATTCAGTGAATTGAGTACATAGCGAATTAATTGGTTCACAGATTTTGTACCTGACAAGAATTTTGAAGGCCCAGAAAGATAATTTATCTGTCTCAAGCAAACTGATTCAGTACATCACAAATGCTTTTATCTTTCTTGGGAAGAAATGCTGCAGTCTTTTTTTGAGAACAAGGTTGTTTTAAGCATTATTTTTACTGATAGCAATGAATGAAACATCTTACCTCCAAATGATACCCAACTCTGATGAAGGCACAAACTGGATCAAAAGCTCCAGTACCACAAGTCAGAAGGTGTGTCCTGTTATAGTGATGCAAAACCCGAACATAATTTGCACATTCACCCTAAAGCAGGAAAAAAAGGAAGGAATCTATCAGCATAATAAACATGTTCAGTCCTTTTTGATTTTTGTTTTTCCTAGCCCTACAAAGCTCATGTTTTACCATAAATCTCTGCTGGGCGAAGGAGGCAAGAGGGGTAGAAGAAAAGAGGACAAGAACTTGGAGAAGAAATTGGGGTTACTGAGACACATTTTGGTTAGCAGTGATGTGTAAATTACATTTTATAATGAGAGTGTATCATTTTTCATGTATTCTAGTTTACAATTGAGGAATGAAGAAAGCACTATTCAGAAATTTCTTCAAGTGTAAAAATTCTCATGGCAATATGTTCCACTAAGTAATTAAGCTGTTTCCAACACTGTTGGTTTTTTAAGTACAGTATAAACAATGAATCAGCATAAAGTCATCAAAACCAAAAATTAGAAAAAACATAGTTATTGATATGGAAATACAGTCTTTTTTTTTTTTTTTTCCAAGACAGGGTCTCACTCTGTTGCCCAGGCTGGAACGTAGTGGTGCAATTTTGGCTCACTGCAGCCTCGCCTTCCCAGGCTCAAGTGATCCTCCCACCTCAGCCTCCAGAGTAGCTGCAACTACGGGAGGAAGTTGCATGTGCCACCAGGCCCAGCTAATCTTTTTGTATCTTTTTGTATCTTTTGTAGAGATGGGTTTTCCCCATGTTGCCCAGGCTAGTCTCAAACTCCTGGGCTCCAGCGATCTACCTGCCTTAGCCTCTCAAAATATGCAGTATTTAGGACAAACAGAATTTTAATGTTTTGGAAAGTAAGTCTTATATTCTCACACTCACAAATTCACATAAAGCACTTTCAGAGAGAATTGTTAAGTAAATACGGAAAACTAACCAATAAAACCAACATTTTGTTGTAGGACTATGATAAGATTACTATATTATTGTAAGAAATAGTAGTAGACTGGGAATCAGCAAACTTTTTCTGTAAAGGGCCAGAATGTAAATGTATTTAGTTTGATGAGTTATCTGGTCTCTGTTGCAACTATTCACCTTTGCAACTATAGCATGAAAGCAGCCATAAACAATACAAAACTAAATGTGTGGGGCTGTGTTCAGATAAAACTTTATTTACAAAAATAGGCAACAAGCCACCTTTGGCCTAGACGCTCTAGTTTGTCAACATTGGTATTCAATTGTGAGCTTCTTGAGGACAGAATCTGTTTTACACATCTCGGCATTTCCCAGTTAATTGAGCACAGCACCTAATACATAACACATGTTAACAAAGTTTTAATATATCCATCAGTAAGTGAATTTAATGATCAGTATACTGAATTAAAGAAACATTTACAATTGCTTCAAAATCAGCTTGGCTAAATTAATTTTAGTAAGCATTCTTTTGACAAATTAGGTGTTGGTATTTCATTAAAAATAAATTATGAAATGAATACTAAACTCTTTTAGTGCCCAGTATTACTTGAAATCAATACACGTAGTGATCAGTTTATGTCATGTTTTATAAGGACCTGTTGCAATTTCAGCACTTTAAAGTTTGTCCTATAACAGTGTTAGGAGAAAAGGCCAGCGGAATCACTTGGCAAGAACGAGGAGTGCACTATTGAATTGATTATCTAGAGCACACAGGTATATTTATTTCTTCAAATTTGCAATCACATGATATTTTATTCTTCAGGTGACCCATATATTTGGTAGAATCTGATCATTCAGGAATGGTGAAAATATCTGTTGTTTGTTTCCATAAGCATCTGCATTTCCTCTCTTGACACACCGTCACATCTGAAAGGGAGCCTATTAGACCACATTTTGGCTCAGCTGAGCTTAGATTGACATGGCCTAAGAATATGTTCAATTAGTCAGCATCATGCTGTGGGTTAAGGCAACAGGAATGTGCTGACTCACTCCTTGGCTGTGACCCAGCTGCTACAGAGAATGAGGAGTTGGTATAATGTGTGTTAGTCATTTATATACTTTTTTTCTTCCTTACTGAAAAAAAGGATAAGTTCACTTTCACAGGCAGATGTCCAGGCCTTCCTCCAGGGTGCATTTGTGTCACGAAATCAGCTAGACACTGCTTGTATGTGAAAGTCCTATCACTGACGTCTTAGTGTGTTAGGGACTGTGTCGGCGGGCTGACGCACAGCATTTTGCCACTCACACTCAGCAGGGAAACTATAGAGAAAGGGAATATTGCTTCTTAAAGTAGAAGAGACCCTAAAATATTTAGGAATAGGTAAAATGTGTTTATTGCCTCTCTCAAACTTTTTGTTGACTTTTTTTCTTCATTCTTTTCTAATTTACTAAACAATGTAAAGTGAAATCTCACAAAGAATGTGCTTAACTGTTCCTAGAAAAAAAAAATTACCTGCAATTATTTTTCTGCCAAATACATGGGAAATAGCATTAGTATAAGGAATTTGTAAACCCAAGTTGATTAAGATATTAAAAAACAAAATAAAAACCAAGATCTCAATGGCATCTCTGCTTCCTTTAACTCTACATTGAAATTAATTTTACATAATTATGTCTTATATGCCTATACATTTTTTTCTTCATGAACCAAATTGCACACATGCTTTTATAAGAGCAAATAAAAATTTAGTGATTCAGTTCTTTGTGGTTAACTAGGGATATAATTGATGATTTGTTTAATTTACAATGAATAATACTTACCGCATCTTTTCCCTTCATTATGCATTCTTCCATTTTTAGAGCTGTACTAGGCCAGTGTATCTAAAATAAAAGATAATGTACTATTATGATAACTGCATATAAAAATAAACCACACTGAAAACCATTTCACTTTCTTCTATAGTTCAAGACATTTCCATTTTTTTCTATTTTCTGATAAGATACAATGGGGCTTTGTGTTATTCACATAATTATTTGCATAATTAAGAAACTTATCCCTGGGCTTTTACTTTATGAGAAATCCTTTTTTAAAAAAGATTATATTTGAAAGTTCACCTCAAGTCTTGGCCCTTCAGAGGACAGCCATGCCTTAACCAGCCCTTTCCCGTATTAAACCTAACTGCTCCTCCAACGCAGGCCCATCCTGCAGTTTCTTGTGCTTTTACTACTTAACATAGAACCTGCTGTGTGGTGGGCTCTCCATAATGTTTGCTGCATACAATGATTAAAGGATGAATGACTCTTTAATGCTGACTTATAATGTATCACCCAGTAATACACCATATTGTCTCTTTGATTATTTATTATTTATTTTTATTTTTATTTTTTGAAATGAAGTCTGGCTCTGTCACCCAGGCTGGAGTGCAGTGATGTGATCTTGGCTCATTGCAACCTCCGCCTCGTGGGTTCAAGCAATTCTCCTGCCTCAGCCTACTGAGTAGCTGGGACTACAGGCGCCCGCCACCACACCCGGCTAATTTTTTGTATTTTTAGTAGAGACAGAGTTTCACAGTGTTAGCTAGGATGGTCTTGATCTCCTGGCCTCATGATCTGCCCGCCTCAACCTCCCAGAGTGATTATTTTTTTAAAACATTGTTTAACTCTACCAATTTCCAGCTAGATTTCCAAAAGTTTTCATTGCATTTTAAGTTTATTGTTTTCTTCCTTTATACATTCCTTAAAACTTATGTTTTAAGTTTGTTGGTTTATTCTTTGATAAGGAGAATATATTGAACTTTTCTTTTTCACCTGCAATAGTATCTAGCACTTTCCTGAGACCACAAGCAGAAATCAGTATAACTATACTTGTTAACTGGTTTCACAAATTTCTAATTGCAAAACTTAGTTTATTTTTGAAAGAGATTTTTTTCTTTATCACTTTCTTTCCTTTTCTTTTCTCAGACTCCTTTTGGTCCTCTTTCTGCTTAATCTATAGAATTAATTGTACTATGTGCCAGGCACTGTGTTAAGAACTTTATTTTATTTTTTCCTTCTTTTGCTTTATCAATTTATGTGCAGAGGTTTGTGTTTGTTATATTACTTAATTCATGATTCCTTTTCATCAACACTCTTAAAGCGTTCCTCTTTTATTTTAGTTAATTATTTATTTCCTTATTCCCACTCCATGTTTTATTTCCATCCCCCCAGGAGGCAACTATTGTATCCTGTTACCAGGTACCTTATTTGTTTGTATGTATTCTTATAAAGTGTATACTACTGCTTTTTGTGCATATATTTCTAATTTATGTAAATAGTATTGAAGTTAAGTCTTATCTCTTTCTTATCTTTTTCACTAAGAACTGGGTTTTTGAGGTCCCTCAATAGTCCTATGCACACATATAGTCTGCTGTTTCTGAGTGTTTTGCAATGTTAAGGTGTGGTTCCCCCATATTTTCTTATCAACTCTCCAAACGATGGATACCCAGATTGCTTCCAAGTCTCTATGACATCAAATAAATTGTTACCTTTTTGTACATGCCCTTTTTGGATCTGTGTAAGAAAATCGTTGGTATATATACATGAGATAAGAATAACTGGGTCTCAGGGCAAGTAAGTTTTGCATCTGTGAATGTAGTACCAGACCGCTCTCCAGAATGGCTACATGTCTATACCGGCAATCCATGCCCCCACACCCTCACTTAGCATTATCAAGTTTTCCAATTTTTGTGCCAAGTGCTTTAAATACAATATCTAATTTAATCCTTACCACAGCTTTATCAAAGAGATGCTATTATTTTGGGAGCTTCTTTTAAAAATTCTTATTTATGTGTGCAAACCCACATTGCAATAAATCTATGGGTGGAAACAAAGGAATGTGATCCATAGGAGTAACTGTAGCAACTAGTCAGTTCCCAAATGCTTTTGTGGCTCAAGAGCTTAAGTTTCCACTTAACATTGTTTATCCCCACATCTGCTGGATCAATCACCTTCCCTCACCAGAATGAAAATGCTCAGTCCACCTCCTTTCTTAAGTTCCCTGGGCGTTTCAAGGGAGCACCATCTCATGCAACCGTATCAATTTCATGGGCTCAGCTGGTCAGGTGATTTATCTTGGAGGGATGTTGGTTCTCACCAAAACACTCTACAGTTTTTACTTAATTGCCTCCATCGAAGCCAGATGATATGGTTAGGCTATGTGTCCCCACCCAAATCTCATCTTGAATGGTAATTCCCATAATCCCCACTTTCCAAGGGAGAAATCAGGTGGAGGTAATTGAATCATGGAGGCAGTTTCCTCCATGCTGTCCTCGTGATACTGAGTGAGTTCTCACAAGATCTGATAGTTTCATAGGGGTCTTTTCCCTCTTAGCTCGGCACTTCTCCTTCCTGCTACCTTGTGAAGAAGGTGCTTCGCTTCCCCTTCACCTTCCAGCATGATTGGAAGTTTCCTGAGGCCTCCCTGGCCATGCTGAACTGTGAGTCAATTAAACCTCTTTCCTTTAAAAATTAGCCAATCTCGGTAGTTCTTTATAGCAGTATGAAAATGGACTAATACCCCAGGCTACCTAAGAATTTGATGAAGGAGTCAAAATAACACACCCAAGTAGCATGGCCCTCTCAAGACATCATTAACATTTTTACAAACAACCTCTTTCTCCTCAGGATGCTTAAGAATCCTCAGAGACCTTGGTTGAGAAGGATTCAGGTACAGCCTTTTCCAGTTCAGTGTCAATGTTTACTGTTGTTAGACTGTATTGGTAGGCCTATGACAGCAAGACAGACTCTTCTGTCTACAGCAGTTTGTTTGTTCCCTTAAAGTCTCTATTATCTTCTGCCTCCCCTTCCTCTATCCATCACCATCCCAGTTTATGCTCTGCCAGCCTGGAAAGACATTCTGATTATCGAATAAAATATTAGACGTTGCTGATTGGTGGTATTTTTTTATTTAGTGGCAAATTGTAATTATTTTTAGGTTAGGAGCCAACATTTAAAAATTTAAAAATCTTGCATAAAAATCCCTATTTCCAATTTCCCTAGAAAAATATGATGAAATGCAACACTAGGCAAGCATTCCTGTGTGGCAACTTTCCTCCGGAGTTGAAATGGAACAGATATTTTGATTTGTTTCAGACTTTTCTTTTACATGAATGATTCCTACAGGCATTTTAGTTTCCAAAATCTCACGTTTGTTTGAATCCTAAATATCTTCAAGATTCAGCTTTTTTAGGACAGGTGTAGTGGCTCATACCTGTAATCCCAGCACTTTGGGAGGCTGAGGCAGGTGGATCACCTGAGGTCAGGAGTTTGAGACCAGCCTGACCAACATGGTGAAATCCTATCTCTATAAAAAATACAAAACTAGCAAGGCACAGTGGTGTGCACCTGTAGTCCCAGCTGCTCCAGAGGCTGAGGCAGGAGAATTGCTTGAACCCGGGGGACAAAGTTTGCAGTGAGCCAAGATCCCGCCACTACACTCCAGCCTGGGTGACAGAGTGAGACTCCATCTCAATTAAAAAAAAAAGAAGGAAAAATAAATAAGATTTACACTTTTTCTTTTTCTTAAAGCCATGCCTCATAAAATATCAGGTAAGGCATGTATATCCCACAAGTGAAAGAGGCGTGTCACTTAACTTATACATTATGTAGCCAAAACCAGCTCCTGATACCTGAGTAATATTGGAAATTTATCAAAGTGGTGATAATAGCATTTTATAATGATAAATGCTATCTGATTTAATTTATTATCATAGAAACAAGCACTCTATGGTTTGAATTATAGGTATAAAATATTACTTTTATGTTCTTATTCATTGGTGCAATGAGCCCCAAGCAGTATTTTACTAACAATATTCAGCATGAGGTGTTCTTTAATTTTCATAGTGCAGTGCATAAACTTTTAAAGGAAAACACAATTTTGGCATATAAACTTTAAGTGAAAACACAGTTTTGTTTTTGATGTTGCAACACAAGAAAAGATAAACACAGAAAGAATGGTGATATAAAAGAAAACCAACCTAAAGCAAAAAGCACACACATAAAATCCTAGAATAGATGTTGATGTTGGCAATAAATCCATCAGTGGGTCATGTATGATTTAGGAAAGATATCAGTCAATATCCGGTTCAAGTGCAGCTTTGCATACACCTGAGTGGAGTCACTGACCCCCCTATAGGGTGAATTCTAGAAGTGAGGCTGCAGAGTTTATAAACTTGACCTGATCTATTAGTTTGGAAAACCATTCTTGAACTCAGGGATAGATTTTAATAAATAACCTCTAAGACTCATTCTAATTTGAGATTCAAATTGATTTGGGAATTATGGTTTTATTGTGGAAGCATAAATTATTCAAATAGATATGCTAGAACATGTGCATGTATATATAGACTATGTTTACAAATATATGTATTTTATCATATATAATAAAATATAAATTCATTTAGGATCATCTATCAGGAAAGATTTTCATTACTAATTCCCTTATCAATATAACTAGATTAGATAATACCTCTTCCATAATTCAGAATAATGCATTTTGTTTATAACATAACTTACGAGATACAGGCTCTGCTTCTTTTTACAATAGTACCATCCCTTCTTACTCATTTTTCATTATTATGTAAAATGAAGACTTCTTTAAACTTTAGTTTTATCGCATATTGCTCTGTATTCCCCTAAATAATGGCTTCAAAATGACCATTTCCAGTTAAACACACTGTTTAGGGGTTAATTCTCCACAGCATTTTTATACATCTTTTGACAGCTTTTATTCCAGAATATCTTTTCAAATAGCCTGAAAAGAGAGAAATTGAATCTCCCTCCAGGGCAAATGAAAGATTTGTTTCCTGACCGGGATGGTAAAGATTGTATCTTCCTCTAGACAA